GATGTCTGGTGAACCACCAAGCGACTTACGCCTGTGTTGCGCTCCTGGACTGTGCCTGTCAGTGGGACACAATGGAGACCTTCCGCACCTGCGCCAACTAGGCCAAGCCTGTGGAGATGAGGGCACACTTCTGGGTGTTGGGATACTGCCAGGGAAACGGAGGCATCAGGCAGGCCCCCAGTCGTCTCTGGACAATCACCGGTCTCCCGTGGAACAGCATCAGTCAATTAGCGACACAAGCTTCAGATACATCCCGTGCACACCCTTTCAGCAGAGTCTCCACAACGAAAGGATGCAGACAGAAGAGCATATTTACAGCTTTATTCAACGTAGATCAGAGCAAAGGAAAAACATGATTGCTTGCCTCCGTGTCCAGGAAAACAGCCAGAACAAAAGCTATAGACAAAGCAGAAGTTCCCAGCAGAAGCTGGACGTGAACAGGCATGTGACACACAACAGCCTGTTCCCTTAAGGTGGAACGGAACTATCCTAACATCCTCCCCCTTTCCATGTAACCTGTAGTACCTGTGGTTCAACCCAATTGTGTGGCGATTCCCGCCCCCCATCAGTCAGAATAAATAAAGACACCAGACACCAGAATTTAAGGTTAATGGGCAACAAATGGCCACAACTTTATTGGTTACAGGTAAGAGCGGTATTGGCTTTAGGCATTGGTCCTATCAGACTATCCGGGATAAAACCGGTAGGGGTTAACACCAACAGGGGGAGCCCCTGAGATGCACATCCCTAGGCGCTCCCTGAGGGGTCACCGCTCGGGAGTGCGCTTTAGGCCCTAGCCTCCATAGGTTTTGGCAACGCCCCCCGGAATCCTTTATCGGAGCACCCCTAAATATTTGGGGGAGGTGATGGCGCTCCCCCGACTCATCAGCATAATAATACCCCTACCAATGCCTAACCGCCACACGAGCCCAAGCTCGCCGCCAATACCCTCAGACCTGCAACCAATCCCTAATCCCCATGAAAATTTCGGCAATATATCATTACCAGCATTGGAAAGATGCACGCCATCCTCGCGGTAGAGGGCCTCATTGTTAAACTGGATGCCGGGGTGGTCAATGACTCTCCCCCCCAGAGCTGCCACTCTACGTGCCACTGAGCGCTCCAGGATCTTACTGGCTCTATTCACCGCCAGAGGATTTCTGCAATCCCTCCAAATGCGCCTCTCAAGCAATGATGACCAGATGATTGTTAAATTCGGAAAGGAGGCCCGTAATTCCCCGAAATCATTGAAAATTTGCCACATTAGGTCCACCCCCTTCCTGTAGGCTAGGTCGTTCTCGCCCAGTTGGATAACCTTCCAGTGCGATTCTTGCTGTTAAAGCGGGGAGGAATTCTGCCCATTGCATTCCTCGGCGCGCGATCCAGGACACTCTGACATTGTTTGGGAGTTCAAGGCCGTCTCCCCTGCCCCTGGTGACAGCTCGGATTCTGGCCCAATGGACAATGCTGCGGCCGACGATCCACAGGCGTACTGCCCCGACACCTGAAAGCGAAAGAGTAAGAAAGCCGGGTCAGGGTGATGATGGGGAGGGGGATCGTTAAAATGGTTTCCAGATGTACCCTCTGTACGCGTTGGACTTCCAGCGACCCATATCCATTATGCTTTCTGCTGGCAAACCCAGGTGCACGGCCGTGGTGGCTGCACCAATGCGAAATGAGTGTGCGGCATACTCCTCAGATGGAAGCCCAATGGCAGTGATAGCCTTGCGCATAACCCTCGTGAATTGATGTTTTGACAGGCGGGACCCATTTGCATGTAAGAAAATGGGGCCAGCGGTGTTTGGTCTTAAATATAGGTATCTTCTCGCGTCTTTTACCGGGCAAGGGCCAGACTTCTGGGCAGCTTGCAAGCGAATTAGGGCCCCTCTCCCGAGCTGATCGGTTTTTGAACTACGAATTTTTAAAATCACATCAGTGCGGGACAAGGTCACATCCTCCAAGAGGAGCCCCCTGTTATTTAAATCTGGTTGGTCTTCACAGACCACCTCGCCAATGCGTAATGCACCAAAGAAAGTGAATGAGAAGGCTGCGGAAAATAATCTGGCTTCGTACTTCAACCAGCAGATGACCCTGAGCTTCTTGTGTATCTGAAAGAGTATGTCATATGTTATGGGCCTTCTGCTATCGGAGCTAGGGGGCTGCAGTCTGCGCCAGCCCTCTAAAGACTTCCGCACAACGAAGTGCACGCAAGGGTCGACTGAAAACATGGCTTTGCAGAAGAACGATATTGCTGCGGATTGAATATTAAGAGTTTTAGGTGCACGTCCCAAGTCATGAAGGTGCACGAGGTATTTTAAGACCTCTGATTTGGCCGGGGGCTTGCCCGGCCTATATAGCCCCCTTTTCTGGCGAAATGCTGTGAAGTCTGAGCACGCCTTTTTATAAGATCTTAGGGTTGAGGGAGCAACTGATGCCAATACTCCCTTTAGCACTTCTCGTTCCCAATGCTCCAGAGGTGCTCAGGAAACGGCTGAGGCTGTTGCTGCGCATCCGGCGCCAATGAGCGAAAGCGATCCATCTGGAAATGAGACAGAGCATCCACAATGCTGTTACTGGCACCAGGAATGAATTTGGCCGAGACATACAAATTTAGCCGCAAGCAAAAAAGAACAAAGGACCGCAAGAGAGCAGCCACCCTGGGAGAATGCGAGGATTGTTTATTTAGGACTGACACCACTGCCTGGTTGTCAGTCCAAAAGCAGACCCTGTGATCTTTGAACTGCTCGGCCCATAAATGAATTGCTACTAAAATGGGAAAAAATTCTAAAAATGTTAAGTCCTGCAGTATAGGTTTTCCCTGCCACGATGAAGGCCACCGCTGCACGCACCACTGACCTCTGAAGTAGATGCCGAATCCCAAGGAACCTGCTGCGTCTGAATGCACCTGAAAATCGGCCTGCAGAGCCATGCTATATTGCCAAAGAGAGATGCCGTTATACTCATCTGAAAATTCCAGCCATACCCCGAGATCTGATTTTACTGCTTTTGGAAGACGCACCCTATGGTGTGGTGCCCGTAAGACTGCTGATAATTTTGCCAGACACCCACAGAAGGGGTGGCCCGGGGAAACCACACAACAAGCAAAGTTAAGGTGACCTAGGAGGGATTGAATTTGTTTGAGAGTAACCTTCCTTAACAGCTTTAGCTGTGAAATGAGCTCTTTCAGAGCGGTAAGCTTGTCAGAAGGGAGGCGTTGTCAGCATCGCCCTTGAGCCAGTGCCACCAACTGGACTCATCCACTTCAGCCCCGACTGGGCTAGGCGAGCTGGGTAGCACTTCCAGAGACCACCTTCTGCACAGGAACAGGTCAAAGTGCTGTGGACTCACAGCTTAGAGTTGTGAGCACCGGATTCACTTCCACAAGAAGACAGTCGTCGCACAGCAGAGTACAGCAGACTCTAGCAGAGTATATAAACAACTCGGAGAGCAGCTCTGTAGAATATCTTCTTTATTCTATCTACAACTATTATACAACTATATACAGAGCTAAATAGGTCTAAGCATAAATGAATGCTGCACTGCACTGAGTGTCTGCAGCTGCTCTTAGCAGCAACCTTATCTCTACACACGATCTCTAACACTCAGTCTCTCTCTCTCTCTCTCCGACACTGACTGACTGACTGACTGACTCGGTGCTGGAGCAGAATAAGTAGAGAGCAGAACACGCCTCCTCCTCTCTGGAGAATCAGCAGACTGTCGGGCAGATTGATTTATTGCTCAGATAAGCCTGAGGTCCGGCACACTTCTGCTGGCCAGGCCTTTGCATTCCAAAGTCCACATTCCGATGCTTCTGAGCAAAGCAGAGATCGGCAGCGGTAAGAGAAAGACCGCAAAAACTCCAGTGCCTGCATCAGTGTGCTTAAATAAAGTCCACTCAGGATCTTAGCAGCTAAAAGCAGTTTTATTTACAGCAGACTATCCATTATCTATCACAGCGAACAGCATCGTGAAAACACGTCCTCTCTCCTCAAAAGCGAAAGTAGAGAGAAAGAACAAAGGCTTGAGGCTCTCGGAAATGACGAACCTCCCCCCTCCCAACAGTAGGCAGAGTGTACACTCTGAGCTGTTTAACCCTGTAAGCTCAGGTTCTCCTCACACAGACTCCTCAGGAGATTCTTGGATATGGGAGGGGTGAAATCTCCTCAGGCGTGATGTTTGAGCAATTGTGTCAAGCTCAGTGCCTAAGTAGGTCATCGTTGTGACTGGGCCTTCTGTTTTTTTCGTTAGCCAAGCTCCTCCGCCAAGGCCTTAAAAGCCTGTAACAGGGATGCGCAGTCTTGTGCATTACTTGTGACAAGAATAAAGTCATCCAAGTAATACCCCACTCCCTCAGAACCGGTTTTAAATTTCAAAGCCCAATCCAAGAATATACTGAAAGTCTCGAAGGCTGCAAAGGCAATCAAGCATCCCATGGGCATGGCCTTATCTATGAAGAACGACCATTCAAATTTGAAACCCAGCCACCGAAAATCCTGGGGGTGGACTGGAAGGAGGCGAAAAGCCGATTCAATTTCACACTTGGCCAAGAAGGCTCCCCTACCAAAACCCCGAACCAGCTTTACCGCTTGATTGAAAGATGTATATTTTACTGAGCACATCTCCTGAGGGATTGTATCATTAACTGAGGCACCCTTTGGCTAAGAAAGGTTATGTATCAACCGGAATTCCCCAGGGGCCTTTTTGGGGATGATGCCTAGCGGCAAGATGTGAAGATTTTCTATGGGGGGTTCAGAAAATGGACCAGCTACCCTTACTGCCAAGATTTCCTTTTCTAACTTTTTTATTGCAATATTGGGCCTCTCCGTAATGGATTTTTGATTAGGGGGGTTTCCAGAATTAGGTGTAAATGAAACTGTGATTCTGAAGCCTTGGGAGAACCTTTCCCATAGGGAAGGGCGGCCTGCCTGTTAGGGTATAAGTCTAAGAGAGTTTTTAAGGGTTGTAGTTTGATGGGGGAGTGAGCTAAGGCGAGGGACGGATTAGTAGCGGTTGCCCGCTGTGCCGTGGGAGGGACCAGGAGTGCCTGCGGGGCCGCCTCGATTAACCTGATGGAGGTGACCCCTGCTGCCCTGAAAGGGCTGCTGTTTATTCTTGTAGCAGGCTGTTGCTGGATGGCTGCCCAGACACTTTTCGCAGTCATGTATGTACTTACAAGAAGGGCGCTGGCAGGCTCCCCTATTAAAATCCCAACATTGTTTGCGACGCTTTGCGTCCACCTTACTGGATTTGGCAGGGTCCTGCGTTTTCTTTTCGATGTAGGGGCCCACATGCTCCATCCAGAAGTTCTGGTCCCTCAGGTCCCAGCGGGTGAACGGTAACACCGAGGCATTTCTACAAAAGTCCTCATCATACATTAGAGGAGCTTCCTCCCCTGCCAGTTCACAGGCCCTTCTAACATGCGCCAGGTAAGCAGCAAGGTGCAACCCGCGTTTAGGATAACAACCTACCACTACACCCATGAATACCTGGAACCCGTTAAGCCAATTCTCAAAGGTGCGCTCCGCCCGAGGTGACCTATGCCTTTTCTTCCCGTAATACCTCTTCATCTCCCCTTTCCCCTTCATTTGGGCTGGTGGTAGCAACGTAAACATATCTATGAAATCCCCATTTAGTATCTTATTCCTTTTTCTTTTTGAAAGGTAGTTACCTTGGATAAAGTCAGTAGACAAATTAGTTGAGATTTTAACATCTTCCACTAGAGCACCACCCTTCCATTCCAGGGTACCATTAAAGGTTTTTCGGTGCGAATTGGCCCTTCTCTCATGCATCCACAAGGGGGCCCCAGTTTCTTCTCCTTCTCCCCAGTAGCTCTCCATGGGAGCATCGCTATCACCATCTGAAGAAGAGGTACCTGTTTCATCCTCGGAGTCGGACGGCTCGCTCCTCTTGCTCTTCTTGGAAACGTGCTTCCTCTTAGCCTTTCTCTTCCCCCCCTTGGCACCGCTGTCCTGAGGTGCTGGGTCAGTGGATGCTGATGTAGTCTGCTGCGGAGGTAGCTCCTCATCCGAGGAAGACCCAGATGCACCCTCTGATGGAATGGGCTGAGAAGGAGAGTCCTGAAACATACTAGGGACATCGATTATTTGCTGATTTGAATTAGAGCGGGAGGGCCGTGATGCTTTGGTGGCGGCCCCCGAACGACCGGATTTTTTAGTGCCGGGTTTGGACTTCTGCGTGCATAAGGATTGAGAACGTGTTATAGGCCAGCTAGCTGACCCCCCGCCAGGTTGCACCGCACTAGATGCAGACACTGAGGGACCTGCCCGGACCTGCTCATTGGGGGGGGGTCCGGGATACAATCCTGGGAGGCCACCAGCGCTGTGGAAGAGCTGGCAGCCGGAGGCCTGCATTGTGAATAAAAGGTTTGAATTGCCGCAAAGAATTGAGCTATAGCTTGAGGGTTACAGGGCATGGCGGGAATTAGGGCACCATCAGATGTTCCAGAATTGCCCCTATTAGCCATGCTAACAATAATAAGATACCTCCAAGATTAAATGTGCACAGTGAAAACTATGAGTTGCTCGCCCCTCAAGCCGCCCACTGGGAAATGGAGCACCTAATTTTAATATTATGTATGTATGTATGTATGAATGAATGTATGTATGTATTTATTTATTCATATATATATATGAATAATAAAATAAATTTTATTTATTTATTTTATTTTATTTTATTTTTTAAAATTTATTTATTTATTTTATTATTATTGATATAATTATTATTTATTTATTTATTATTCTTTAACTTTTTTTTTTTTCCAATATGCGTTTATTATCGTTTATTTGTTGATGCTATCATCGCTGCTATTACTGTTATTGTTATAAGAGGCCTAGAGGATATACGCAAAATGATAATAAGCCTGCAAAATAAGACCCTTTAGTAAATGAGCGATATAATCTGCTCAACTCGCGTGCCTGAACTTGTTTATAGCGCACTCACTGCCAGACAAGCCACTGATCACTGGTATGACCTATGAATTACTCACAGTGTTGAGCAATCCCGCAAAAGAAGGCTTCAAATAAATTGTTCAGAACTTTTTAGTAAGCCTATGAATTGTTTAAATTATTTTAGTAAGCCTATGAATTATTTAATTCCCCTAGACAAATTCCTGTAAATTAACCCCGCATGAATTATTAATATATCAGGCAGCACAATGAATTAAAGATGAAGGGTTATAAACTAAAGCACAAACAAGGCAGACTATTTTCCCCAAAGCTAACCCCTTTTCTAAGGCACCGATGCAAATATGCCTTTCTTGCTGCACAGTAAGCCTCCCCTGCAGTTCAAAAGTGCCAGAAACTGCTCAGCAAAGTAACCTAGCCAGCGACTGTTACAAAGAATACAAGCCTAGCAGAGACACCATGTATCCCTGAAGGATAATGTAGCCTTTTAAGGTTGGGAAGCAATCACCGCTGTTGCCAGCAAAGAGCTGCCTCTCCCAAAATGTGGGGACCACGTGGTCCACTCAAAATGGCGACTGCTCACCGCTGTAGCCAAGGCAACCGCAGCCGCCTCCGCCTACAAAAAACCCCCAATTTTTTTCAAAATCAAATGCCGTGTGCTAGCCGCATGCAATGCTAATCGGGAGCCCCACGAGGCTCTTAGCCAGGTAATATAAAATACAGCACTATAATACAGACGATCTAAAAAGAGTCAGCAAGAAGCAAACCCCCTGCAGCAATGAAACCTAACCGGCGCTCTAAAGGGTAAAGCAGGTAATCTAAAATACAGTGCTATAAACAGGCGATCTAAAAAGAGTCAGCAAGAGCGCCCTAGACGGCCGCGTACAGCAATGTAGATCAGAGTTGCTTCGGCCCGACCCCCAAAGCGCGCTGCTTAAGGCGCGATGATCAGGAGCGCGTTAGCCCCCTCGCCGCCAAGAGCCTGAAAGGATTCCCAAACCTCCGTGAGCGCTGGGGCAGCTCACGCCTTGAATCCGCTTCTGAGGTCCCCCGCCGATTAAAGCGAGGTCGCATCCACAGCAGGGCGCCCGGTGAGGGATGGAACGCAACGATCCGCAGAAGCTACTGCTTGCCGGCCGTATGTGCCGTGCTGACCACGTGGGTAGCGCAGCCAAAGAAGGTAGGCGGTGTGGCTAACAGCAATAGCCGGGGAGAAGGATCCTGGCGCTGAGGATAAAAGGTCCACGAGCGGACCAAACAGAAGAAAAAACGACGGCTGGAAGCGCTGCAACGCATCTCATAAGGCGGCTTTGGCGCTCCAGCAAAGAACGAGGACAAAAAACTTGAAAATAAAGCAACAATGGAAAAGCAAAACGCAGCACCGGCAAAATAGAGCAAGGAACAAAATTGGAGCTGAAATGGAGAGGAAAAGGGGCGTTCTCGGGCCGCGCTGTCCTTAAATGACCCCAGCTAGCTCCGCCCCTGCAGCCAGCCGATTGGCTGGCCCGGGGTATGACGCGGCCCGAGGATTCCCTGATCGCGCGGGGCTGCAGCCAGCCCCGGGCGAATGTTAGTGGGCGTGAGCCCGCAACCTCCCCCCTTCTGATGTCGGGAGTGGCTCTGCAACCTCTGTACATAAACCTTAAGTTGTTCTCTGTTAACAACCTTAGACAACAGATCAGCAGGAATTTCATTTCCTGCCATGTAGGACACCTGAATGAGTCCTTTCTGAATACACTCTCTTGCACGATGTAGCTTAATCTGCGAGTACTTGGTTCTTTGCTTGCAACTCTCTGAGTTCAGCAAAGCCAAACAGGATCTATTGTCTTGATACACCTGTGTAGGACATTTCACAGAAAGTCTGATGTCATGAAACAGTGGCATCAACCATTCACAATCCATGAGTGAAAATGACAGGGCATTGAGTTCTGCTTCACAGGAATTTAGGCTTACTGTCATCTACTTTTTGCACAGCCAGTCAAACAGACATACTCCAGAAGTGCTGGTACCATCCAAGGTGTCACTTCCAAAACTAGCATCTGCAAAGATTTCAAGACCTCCAGTCTTCTGACTGGTGAACCTCAGCCTGTAGTGCAAAGTCCCTTTCAAATAGCGGGCTATGCGCTTCAGAGCTTTCCAATTCTGAACAGTAGGATTGTTGGCATGTCTGCTAAGCAGGTTAGTGCTTACACCTATGCCAGGTCTTGAACATCTAGCAATGAAATTCAGCTTGCCTAGAATGCATCTGTACAGTGTGGTGTCAGAAAATGCTTCAGCAATACTATCTACCTGGTAACCTGTCACGATTGGTGTGTCTACTGGGTTTGCATCAACTAAATTCAACCTGGTTAATACATCAGCAATTTTCTATGTTTGGTGTACCAGAAAATTACCTGCTCGGTCCCTCTCCACCTGCAGAGAAAGATAGTTGGATACCTCACCAAGATCCTTCATGTCAAAGTGCTCCTTCAGCTGAGCTAGGGAGCTTTGGTACAAAGCCTGAATCGTCCAAAACAGAAGATCATCAACAAAACAAACAATAGAGTTTGTTTTGCCCCTCCTCCTTGACAAACACACATGGATCGGCTTTGCCTTGGTGAAAACCTAGAGAAAGCAATGTCTCAGTGAGTTTTGTATTCCAACACCTGGCACTCTGCTTGAGACCATATAAGGATTTCCGTAGTTTACAGACCATTCCCTTCTGTATCTGCACGCCATCAGGTGGAAGCATATACAGATCCTCCCCCAAAACCCCGTACGTGCAGTTTCTCCTCTGCAGCAATCTTGAGCATTAACCTAATGCTCTCATACTTGACGGTGGGTGAGTAGGTCTCGTGGTAATCCTGTCCTGGTACCTGTGAAAAACCCCTCGCAACCAATCTGGCTTTGTGTCTGATAACCTTGCCATTCTGGTCTGTCTTGGCCTTGAAGACCCATTTGCTGCCAACCAGTCTCATTCCTGGGACTACCGGTACCAGCTCCCAAGTTTGGTTCTTATTCAAGGAATCAACTTCAGCCTTCATGGCATTAAGCCAAGGCTCAGCATCTTTAGAGGTCAACTCCTGAACCTCTTTGAAGCTTGAAGGTTCCCACACCTTCTCTGAGCTACTAAGAACAGCAGTTGCTGTCTTAGCAAACTCATCAGCAAATCTCTTTGGAGGTTTGCCTTTTGTGGCCCTTTCAGATCTGTGTACTAGACGCAAGTCTTCTTCACTCATCTACTCTTTCTTAGGAGAAAAGTGGCCAATGGTGAACAGTGGTTCTTCCAGTTCAGTGTCAGACACATCACTGTCGCTGACAACAGCAGCAGCGCAGCCCACTGAGCTGGAATCCGAACTCTGATCATCATCTTCAGCTTCCTCTTCTACCTCATCAACATCTGCTTTCTTCCACATCATCTTCATCCTCCTCTGAGTGGCTCTGGAAAATTCCCACATTCCCCCCCCCCCCCACTTAGGATTGTACTCAACACTCTTTGTGAACCTAATGGACTTAGAGTCCGTCATGAATACCCTATATGCACCTTTTTCGTACCCCATGAACAAACCATGTGCCCCACGCTTCCCAAGCTTGCTGCTCTGTGGGGTGTGTACCCACATGTTAGAACCAAAGATTCTCATGTGCTTACCAAACATCTTCTCATAGGGAGTACAACCAATAGGTGATGACAGTCTCCTGTTATAGGAATAAAGGAAACACAATAAAGCTTCAGCCCAATATTTCTCAGGGAGATTGGCATCATGCAACAAGGTTTTTAGGCCTTGCAGCAAAGTTTGGCTTGCTCGCTCACAAATCTCCCATGGAGGGACTTCCGGGTCAGCGCCATTGGTGAATGGCGGAGTTCCTCCGACCGGAGGAACGGGCTCCGTGAAAACTGGGTCTTCCCGCCGCGGCGAAGGTGGGCACCCACTAGAAATCCCAGGCGGAGGAAGCCTGGGAACGTGGGGTTCGGCAGGGCACCAGAAGCGCCCCCCTACTCGCGGGGAATCCCATCTAGGGGCTCCGGAGCGAAGTGGGGTGAGAAGCGCAGTGCTACGAACTGACTGCTACTTTCACGGAGTGAAGCCGCACAGCCACTGCCAGAGAGCGCTGACTTTTTCCTGTGGACAATTGGACTTAAAACAAGTACCCATGAGTAGAAACGGAAAATTGGACCAAGAAATTGTTTTAATTTGGTAAAGAAGCGGGAAGGTGTAAACAGGAAGTCCGCCTTCCGTTTCTTTGTATATAGACTAAAGCAAAAATTTTGCAAGCTAAAGCCGGGAAGCTGTCAAAAAAGGACTAAATTTCCTTCATTTAGAACCACTGAAACCCCCCGTGGAAGCAGGAGAAAAGGGGGGGGACTCTGTTTAACCCTAGCAGGAGAGGGAGTGAAGAAGGATAAGTTTCCATCGTCTCTAACCTGGGAACGGGGTGTCAGAGACAGAAACTGTTGCTGAGGTTCATTG